TTGGTGTTGCCTCGGCCCATTGTGTGCTCTCATTTCTTCTCACTTTCCATTTTATTTATTCATTGTTTATTCAAAAATTTAAAGTCCACCAACTCATTAAAATATTGATAGGGACCCCTGACCATTAGGTCCAGTCGTGACCGACTCTGGGGTTGCGGCGCTCATCTCACTTTATTGGCTGAGGGAGCCAGCGTACAGCTTCCGGGTCATGTGGCCAGCATGACTAAGCTGCTTCTGGCGAACCAGAGCAGCACACGGAAACGCTGTTTACCTTCTCGCTGGAGCGGTACCTATTTATCTACTTGCACTTCGATTTGCTTTCGAACTGATAGGTTGGCACGAGCAGGGACTGAGCGACGGGAGTTCACCCCGTCACGGGGATTCGAACCACTGACCTTCTGATCAGCAAGTCCTAGGCTCTGTGGTTTAACCCACAGCGCCACCCGTGTCCCCTAATGGAGTAGGTACAATAAACATAATAACCTTCTAAAATCATAAACTATGCTAACAAATATTTATATTATATCCAAGCTGAGCAAACTATGATTTGTCTGTAGCGTAGTTTGTCCACAAATCATGACTGCATACTGTGGCTTGTGGATAAGCTCTGTTTGGTGCAGACCTAGGTTGTCTGGCTTGAATATAATGGCAAATGGCTGCTAAATTGGAAGTAAAGGGAAATTAGAGCACGTGAGAGAAAGGAGGCACATGAATTAGTACATATTGCACCATACTATCTGCTTGTCTGGGTGTACCTTTGCCCTGTTAAAACTTTGTAGCTGTTTGGGGCTATTGAAATACAAGCAGGGTGGAACAGAGGAACAGACTTGGGTTTTCAACCTACTGGCACTCCTGAACTAAGTGTGCAAGCTTCAAGTTCTGACAGTAAGCTTTGGTTAGTCAATAGAGCTAAACAAGTAACGCCTTGATATCAGTTCTTTAAAAGCCATTTTAATTGCATTCTTTTCACTCTATAGACTGCTTTTTGCGCTTCTCACAGTACTTTGAGTAAAGGAGTCTGGGGCTTTTCAGTACCTTGTCAAAAAGGAGTTTGTCTGATATTGTGAACAATCTGATGCACGTCTCTTGACTGTCAGAGTTAACAAGCTGAAATATTTTTAAATGATGGCTGAAGAACGGCAGCTGATTCGGAGACCAGAACCTAGAACTGTCAGTTTCCGTTTGCTTGCTTCCATAACTACACAGTTGTTATTTAGGAAGGAACAAGTAGGGCACTGAATCTCCTCTCTTCTCCTCTCCTTCTTTTGAAAACCTGATCTGTGAAATCTTAACCTCTTTGAAAGGGTTCCCTTTCGGTGGCATGATGGTCACTGGGGTAACACATGCTCTGATTGGCTGTGTAGTTTTAAGGGAGTTTTCCTCTGGATGTTTGATTGCATGCCTTATTGCTGTGGACAAGATCTGAAGAAAGGCAAAACCTGTTACTTCCTCCTCAAATTATATACTGTTTTTGATCAGATTCCTCAGTTAAAGTGTGGTCAGATTTCCTTTATCTCTGGACTCCGTCTATGTTGTTTGAGTGATTTTGCTAGCAGTGGACAGGGAAGGGGCATGCATGCAAGCCTTGCCCCCAGTGTCTTCATGTGTGTGTCCCTCCTCAGTGCCTGACTTCCCCATATAACGTGAGGAAAGCCTGCTTGTGGGGATTGTACAGAGGGTTCTATTTGCATTCAGACAAGTGTGAGAAGAAGCCCCATGCAGATCTTCCCTGGGCAACATGAGGAGGTTGGGACTGACCAGGCAGGGAGGACAAGCATGAGAATGTGGGTGTGAGTGGGTGCCTCTGCCCACATCCACACTTTGAGCAGTCACATGTTCAGACTGTTGGGAAACTGTGTACTCACACAGAGTCAATTAAGGTTTGGCAGACAGCCAGAAGGCAATCTGAAGGAGTAAGTCTGCCTGGTGATAACAAAGACATGGAGACAGCTCCCTGATTGGCCAAGCTATTTCAAGGGAGTGATAATTAATGGCTTACTAACTGGAATGTGTTAGTTCAGTATTCAGAGATTCAGAGTTCTGTGTGTCAGTGTAGGAGTTGTGAGTCGTGTCAGAGAGAGCTAGCAAAAGATCCGTGTTCTGTTCCTGTAAATAGTCCACTGTATATAATAAACACCTAACTACAAGTTCCTGGTTCCTGCTTCGTCTATCCTGTCTGCAGCCAAGTCGCCAATTGCTTCCGTGGATTCTGCGTTTACTCTGCTAGGTCTGGCTAGGGTCCTGCAGCTAGTCAGAAAGTTGCGAAACACGAACTAGGTTTTGCCAATACAGACAACGGCCTTAAGAAAAACAAGGGCAAGTGCAGAAAAGCAGATCTAAATCATCAAGGGCCAGGTACGTCAGTGGTCCTCTGCCATTCTACAGGAGAAAGGCTGGTTGAGGCCCTGTTGAAAACTGGGGGGTGGGGATCACTGCAGACTTAATCTTGGAGGACAGCAGGGGGATGCAATGTTGTGGCAGCAGTATCATCTGGATTCTCTGTAATAACAGAGTGAAGAAATGATGTCGGTTCCAGAGAAAACAGCCAGTGTGTAAACATCCAAGGAAAACAAATGCAAATGCAAAATTCAGACTCGGGCTTGCCTGGCTGCCGTAGCTCTTTGGACCACAGCCATCAAACAATACTGAAGTTCAAGAAAACTGAAAGACTTGGAGAAATAGGAGTAAGATCTGGGAGAGCATATTCTCTCCAGGCAATCCTACACATGCAAAACATAACAGCTAAAATTGCTTTTCAGGGTGTTGGAATGACAATTAAGTTTCAGGTTTCTGCGGATTGCTATAGCAAACTTGTAGTGAAGGGTTGTAAAATACATGCTTTGCACGCAGGAAGTCCCTGGTTGAATTCCTGGCAACTGGGAACCCATCCAAATGGGTGGGGTATAAGTAAATTATTATTATTATTATTATTATTATTATTATTATTATTATTATTATTACAGTGGTACCTCAGGTTACAGACGCTTCAGGTTACAGACTCCGCTAACCCAGAAATAGTACCTCGGGTTAAGAACTTTGCTTCAGGATGAGAACAGAAATCGTGCTCTGGTGGCACAGCGGCAGTGGGAGGCCCCATTAGCTAAAATGGTGCTTCAGGTTAAGAACAGTTTCAGGTTAAGAATGGACCTCCAGAATGAATTAAGTGCTTAACCTGAGGTACCACTGTATATACGTTTGGGAACCACTGCTATACTCAGCTAGGTGTCAGAGAACAGCCCCCTGTTTGAAAGGGTCCTTCATTTGAAGGGCTGCCTGGTTCATTTCTGGTTTAAAAATAAAGACCTCTAAGAAGGGAGAGCAGAAGGGGGCTTTGAAGATGCCCATCACTTAGTTTCTGGGCAGCAGACTGAGCAGACGTGGGAGTCCACTGGTCCGTCTTCCCCGCAAAGGTGAGATGTATTACAGGCTATGACCAATTTACACACATCCACCCAGGGCTGTCTTAAGCATATCCGGCGCCATGCTGCAAAGCTCCCTCCGGAACCCCCTCTCCCTGTTTCCCAGAGTTTTCGACCTTTTTTTAGGGAGGACGGCGCTGCCGGTGAGGCTGGAGGAGGCTGGCAGTGGCTGGAGGGCGGCTCCTCCAGCAGGGGAGAGACAGGGGCTGGACATGGCACTTCCCAGCTCAGCTGGCCGCTTGGTGCCATGGTGGCCATGGCAAATGGAGGCTCCGGGACCAGCGCTGCTTCGGCACGGCATGGCGGAGGTGGGCCAGAGCAGCGAGCTGATGCCAGGAGGCGCCGCATCCAGCCTCCGCCTCTTCCCTGGCGCCCTCCAGAACTTGGCGCCCTGGCGCCCCGAGCCACTAACCCCTATGGGCAAGACGCCCCTGCATTCAACTGATGCACAACCATGTGCACACATATCACAGTGACTTGGAATTGGCCGGAAAAGAGACATAACAAGGTGGGCATATGTGCACTGCTGTCGCACACAATGACCTGGAACACAACCCCTGCACAAATTGGGGGTTCCCTGTAAACATTTCTGTTTAAAATATGGTAAAGGTAAAGGGACCCCTGACCATTAGGTCCAGTCGTGGCCGACTCTGGGGTTGCAGCGCTCATCTCGCTTTATTGGCCGAGGGAGCATGTACAGCTTCTGGGTCATGTGGCCAGCATGACTAAGCCGCTTCAGCGCACGGAAATGCCATTTACCTTCCCGCCAGAGCGGTACCTATTTTTCTACTTGCACTTTTGGCGTGCTTTTGAACTGCTAGGTTGGCAGGAGCAGGGACCGAGCAACGGGAGCTCATCCCATTGCGGGGATTCAAACCACCGACCTTCTGATCAGCAAGCCCTAAGCTCTGTGGTTTAGACCACAGCGCCACCCGCATCCCTTAAAATATAGTAGTCGTTTCTAAATGTGTGTCTATACCTAAATTGTCACCTACAACTTGAATGCATATCTTTTTCAATGATTCATTTCCTCACCCCCCTTTCTTTCCCTTATTGTGCCTATCTAAACCAACCAGGCGAGTATCAGAGATGAAATCGGACTCTTAAGATACATTCAGTATAGCGCAGAGCTGAATTCTGCAAAAAAATGACGCCTCTAGCAACTTGCACTATCAAATTTTTTATAACGCATTCCCAAAGGGGGTGGGGAATAGAGATCGTGTTTTGCTTTTGGTTTTTAGGGAGAAGCAAAATAGGGTCTTTTCTTGGTCAATAAGGACAGCGGGGGGGATGTGGCATTTTTGCAAGGCTGCTGTGTGCCATGAAGCCTATTTGCATAAGTCATGGTTGCTGTGGTTTAATCTCAGGAAAACAAATGGATAAACCATGTCTATATATATATCTATATATATCTGATGTTAGTTGAGATCAGGTAGGATCCCATGGCCAATGGCTGTTTCCGAAGATCCGGGCTGATTTTGGCTTCTGCTGCTTATCAGGGGTGGTTGTCTTTGGAAATCGTTTCTCCTAAAGGAAGCACCTCTTTCTTTGCAACTGATGGTTTTATCTGTCTCCTCTCAGGTGGCTCTGCTGTGGCTAGAAGAAGCAGCTTTTGTGTAACCGGCAGAGAAAGGGCAGAGGGGAGAGTTTCAAAGGACAAGCGGCTCCCGGAGAAGACTCCATAGAAAGCACTGCATTTTCCATCGTATCACATACACAACAGTGGAGCAGATTGATTTCCGTAAGTCCCACCAACCAACAAAAAGCTGCTTTGCATACGGAATTGATGGGGAGCGGATGTATTTCCATTTTAAAGGATGCCTTTTCAAAGTTATTTTTTAGTGGGGCCCTGCAATAAGATAACCCCCAACACCTGAATTGTGATGTGTGGGTGCAGCAATATGATATAGGTCCTGTTTGTCCCATCACACACACACACAGACACACACACACACACACACACAGTAGGCTTTATGGCCCCCCCCCCAATGTTGGCTTAGGAAAAACAAAATAGAAGAGATCTGTTAGGGTGGAAAATACTCAAATGTAAATCAGTCTCCTTCTCCACTGAAAGAAGTAATTTGAAGACACTCTAAGGGTATTATGGCTCCAGGAAGAAATCTCTTCCTGTGGTTTTTAACAATTTAACTGATTAGTTTTTAAAAAGCATGATGCTTTAAGAAAAATACAAAAGCATTCAACACTCACCCCCTCCGCTGGAAGACTGCTTCGCAGAACACGCACAATTTCCAGTGAAAATGCACAATTCAGCCCCACTCTCCCTTCTGTCTTTAGGCCAACCTTCCCCAACACGCCACCCTCCAGAGGCAATCCCTATGAGCCCCTATTGGCTGGAGGTGATGGGAGCTGTAGACTGAAGCATCTGGAGGGCACCAGGTTGGTGAAGGCTGTTCTAGGCATTCTTCCTCCTCTCTTCTTGAAGGTCCACCCATCTTCCTGTCCTGTTCCTTGATTTGTAGGCCTTTGTTCTTCCTTTCACCTCCTGTGACCCATACAGAGATATTGTAGGTCCTCTTCCAAGCCTTCATCTACTTCTTTTCACAAAGTCTGAATCCATCGGGGTGGGTGGGTGGGAATAAAATAAATATTGATGGATGGATGGATGGATGTTTTTAAAGCATAGTTATGATTTTTTTTCTCAATCTTACTGTTTTATCTTTTTATAAACAACTTTGAGGGTTTTGATTTGTTTTGGCAGCCAAGCGGTATATACATTTTATGAAATAAATGCACTTTTATGAATGCATCCTTAATGCATTTAGGGGTTCCACATATTACAGAAGTGCAGAGTGGAAATATTTTTGCATTATTCCCATCTCACTCCCTGTATTCAGTCCACCTGTATTTTGATCCTGTGAACAAAGCTCCTTGTCTTAATATCTCTGTTTTTATTCATTGTTTTGTTTTTTTATTTAACCACAAACAGCCAACCCATGGGTGTAGAATCAATGAAAACACAATGGGTTATGTTTTGTTTTGTTTTGAGTTTAGTGGTTTCATCCTTTGTCTATTTGCAATTGTTCATATTAATTCCACAAATTAATATTACCAATTCTATGTCCATTAAATTTACATTATTTGGGAGTTCGGGTCCAATTTTGTTCATAATCACCTTCCTTATTTTCCCGGGAATTATTTCTTTTTTATTTAGATAGTAGCCATGTACAACCAGTCCAAAATGATGTGATATTATGCTCTGAGTATATGCACAGCCCCTAAATAGAGTTCTTTGGGGGCAATTTGCAATAGGAGAGGGCTGATGAAAACTGGAATCCAATAACATCTGGAGAGTATGATGCTTGCAGTTACGTCTGCTGTTCCCTGGCTTGATCCCCATGGCAGAAATGTAGGATAAAATGTATTAAACGTTTAAGCTTATGACCTGAATGCTACATACAATCCTAAGTGTTGTACGTGGAAAAACTGGTTGTTGATCACCAGAGCCATAATGAGTTACCCTTAAGAATGCTGCAGCAATTCCAGCAAAAGTAAGAGGAGAATCTTAGGATTCAATCTCATTTATTCCAGTTTCCCCATGGCGTGGATTTCAGAGGCATTCCAACTGCATGTCACTGTGACTTGGATAAGAATCACTATATGGCTGACAGTTTGTGCTTAAATTGAAGTGCTCGTTTGGAAAACTCTGTACACTGTTTCCTTAGGTGTCTGTCACAAGACTAGAGACAGGGTTTCAATGATTCCCTGCCCACTTTATATTGTCTTGCCATTTAGGCTCTTGATACATAGATTTCTGCTTATAGGAATACATTCCAATTAGATTCCCTTAAAAGAGAGAGAGAGTGTCCATTTTTTAAAGTGACATTTTTCTTAGTGAGAGCTGCAAACTAGCAAAAGAGTTGAGTGTTGTCACTGCTAATTCCTCTGCACAATTCGGAAAGGCTGTTTAAGTAGCTGTGAACAGGGGTGTCTGTAGTTTCCAAGAGTTCGGGTTTTTTGAAAAAATAAATAAATGGTGATGTGGAAGGGAAACAGTTTTGCTAGGTTCCCCCCCCCCCAAAAAAAAGAACCCCAGAGGACTCATTTGTTCATGGTACACCAGGTATCTCATTCAGATTTGGAGTCTGAGTTATAACTGCAAAAGAGTTACCAGGAAGTCCAAGGATCTGTGCAAATGATCTTTTGTCAGAATCTACAGAACCTTTTTGCACCTCATAAATAGCTCTTCTTTGCTAACTGCATTTAGATGGTTACAAGTCCTGGGGAAATAGCAGGTTCGTGCTGTCCTTCTTTCTAGTGAGATGAGTACCGTATTTACTTTCAAAAGCATCTATTAGACCAGTATCTTTTTCACTCTCTGGTTTGCTATTACGTACCAGAGAAAATATATGATATGTTATTGCTTTTCATTACTTCCATTTGTATCCTGCCTTTCTTTGATCATGGAGCTGAGGGTTATAGCCAGTGCTAGTCCTACTCTGAGGAGACTCATTGAAAACAATAGACATGGCTCACTTAGGTCCACTAGTTTTAACGAGTGTACTCTGAATATACATTAGTCAGAGATGACCTTCAGTGAGGTGACTGATGTAAGTATCCTTTTCCCATAGATTGTAGAGCAGCATGCCATTTTGTGGTCCTGTCTCTTTTCCTGCTCATTTAGATTGGACAGACTTTTTTTATCACGCTATGTCCCCCATAGCAGCCATTTTGTGTTATGCCACACCCACATAGCAGCCATTTTCTGACTGGTGCCCACTGCACTTTTCAAAATTCAGAATGTTTCAGGCTGGCCCCCCCAAAAGTTGGGGAGCCTGTCCTTTGGTTAAAGATATAATGATAGGTAAAAAGGTAAAGGACCCCTGGATGGTTAAGTCCAGTCAAAAGTCCAGTACGGCGCTCATCTTGCTTCAGGCCGAGAGAGCCAGTGTTTGTCCACAGACAGCTTTCCGGGTCATGTGGCCAGCAAGACCTAACCACTTCTGGCACAATGGGATACCATGACGGAAGCCAGAGCACACGGAAATGCCGTTTACCTTCCCGTCACAGCAGTACCTATTTATCTACTTGCACTGGTGTGCTTTAGAAATGCTAGATTGACAGGAGCTGGGACAGAGCAATGGGAGCTCACCCCATTACGCGGATTCAAAATGCTGACCTTCTGATCAGCAAGCACAAGAGGCTCAGTGGTTTAGACCAGAGCGCCACCCACATCCATAATGATATGTACAGATAGGGTAACTATACGCAGAAGCAGCGCTTTTTTTCAGGGAGATCTCACCAGAACCAGTTCTGGCACCTTTTAGGTGGGTTCTGGAATATCTAAGGTGAGTTCCAGCACCTCTCAGGTAGGTGCTATTGCCATTCTAAGAGAAAGAGTTGAGTTCTGGCACCTCTTTTTCTGGTAAAATAGCACTGAGCAGAAGCGATCAGAAAAACCAAGCTCTCAACAAATATCACAGGATAACAAAGGATCAGGGGCCCAATACCATTGTGCAGATGGTAAAAATCTGGGTACAGCCAGTGAGTTCATATATGACAGAATGGCAAAGGGTAGCCATTGAGGGTACAGTTGGAGACAGAGATCCTACGAGGAGAGAGTGCACAGAGACCGAGACGTTAGGGTTGCCATATGTCCAGAATATCTGGAACACCTGTAGCCAGCGGCAGTGTCTGGGTGAAAATCATAAAAAATGTCCAGGAAATCCAGAAGTATGGCAGCCCATGTTGGCAGTGCTGGGGTTTTTTGTTTTTGCTGATTTTCCAAAAAATAAATAAAAAATAGCTTTACGTTATTTTGCCAATAAAGCTCAACAACTTTGCTCAAAAAAGCTCAGTAACTTTTCTGTCCAGATTCTCACTGTTTGAAATATGGCAACCCTACGTAACACAAAATGCCTTGAGGATGAGATGGCTGTAAATCAAACTGTGAAACGATTGAAATTCCCTTTTCTATGCTACTATTTTTATTATTATTATTAATTCCTCCCTTCCTCCAAGGAGCTCAGGGTGCGATTCATGATGCCCCTTTGAATTTATTTCCCATAAAAAATGTTGAATAGGTTAGGCCAAGCTTCCTCAAACTTGGCCCTCCAGATGTTTTTGACCTACAACTCCCATGATCCTTAGCTAGCAGGACCAGTGGTCAGGGATGATGGAAATTGTAGTCTCAAAACATCTTGAGGGCCGAGTTTGAGGAAGCCTGGGTTGGGCTGAGAGACCAAGTGGCTGAGCTTTTATGACTGAGTGGGTTTTTGACCTTCATAGAAACATAGAGAACCATTATTCTGAGTCAGACCATTGGTCCATCTAGATCTGTATTGTCTACACTGGTTGGCAGCAGCTCTCCAGGGTTATATAATAATAATATTAGAATAATTTATTATTTATACCCTGCCCATCTGCTGAGTTTCCCCAGCCACTCTGGGCGACTCCCAGTCAAGTGTTAAAAACAGTACAGCGTTAAATATTAAAAACTTCCCTGAACAGGGCTGCCTTAAGATGTCTTCTGAATGTCAGGCAGTTGTCTATCTCTTTGACATCTGATGGGAGGGCGTTCCACAGGGCAGGCACCACTACCGAGAAGGCCCTCTGTCTGGTTCCCTGTAGCCTCACTTCTCACAGTGAGGGAACTGCCAGAAGGCCCTCGGCGCTGGATCTCAGTGTCCGGGCTGAATGATGGGGGTGGAGACGCTCCTTCAGGTATACAGTACCCAGCCCTACCTGGAGATGCTATGGATTGAACCTGGAACCTTCTGTGTT